GCCCTAGAGTGACTCCATGCATTGGTTGGTGATTCTAAAAGCTTGCATGCTACACTTTGATTCCTTCACTCCAAAATTGCATTTTCATTCCAAACTCCATTAAAACACCATCAATCACTACAATTATGATCATCATCATCATCTATAATCAACATTGAGCATTTGGCAAAGGAAAGGCTCAAGAATTCGTGGCTGGATTATGAGATCTCCAACTTCACTCCAACTTGCATGAAGAGTTGAATAGGTTGATTCAAGAAGATAGAACAAGAACTACTGCAACCAGAGGCTTCAACATTCATCAAAGACCATACAAAGCAATTGGCAAGGTCTGAATTGGAGGAGAACCATCATCACCATCATCACTTGCAAGGTATGCATTTTCTCATGAAACTCTCTATTTATCCATAGTTCAAGCATGTTGTTAGGAGAAATCTAATAGAGACCAATTAGGGATGTTGTATGATGAGTTTAAGGGCTGTTTGTGAGGTTTGCTTCCATGGTGTCAATTCTTTAATGATCAAGAACTCACGATTTAGTGTACTATAATCTTAGGTATTAGGCTTAGGATAATCCCCATAAGATGTAGTACATGATAGGTTAATATGAGACCATTTGATTACCATGCAAACTAAGGTGCGAAAATGGTGACCACCCCTTGTAGCCTTCGTATTTCTTTCTTGAGGGAGAGTTAGAGAATTCTAGTACCATGGCTGTGTAGAGGGAGATGAGTAGATGAGTTTTCATCTTTGGATCGTGAAAAATGGTGGAGAAATGAGAGAGTTAGAGAGGGTGGAAGTTGCTTGCATGAGTTCTGGTTTTTAGAAACCCTAAGTGTCCAAGGTAGAAGAGATAATCTCTACCATTGATTCATGTTGGGATATTTGACTTTGTCCCTCAATCCAGCGGCCTAGATTTTATTAAACTTCAAAAATTCATAACTAAATGGAAAATGCATATTTTTAACTCATTCTTTTTTTAATATTTTCCTTAACATGTCTAGAAAATTAAAAAAATATAAAAATTGCATTTTATATTTTTTTCGCATTTTTTCCATATTTTACAAATAAATGCATATTTTGAAGGTTTTATTTCATACATGATCTTGTAGATTTTTGTTCTTACACTTAGAAATAGATTTTTTTCCCATTCTTTTTTGTGGTGATTAATATTGAATTGTAGTATTCCCAGAATTTATTACTAGATTTGTTAGAATAAAATTTGGTTAGTTTAGATAATTGAACTTAGGATAGTTTAATTAGGGTTAAGTAGTATACTTGAACTTCAACATTTCATTTTTGAAAATTCATAACAAATTAGAAATTGCATATTTTTAATTCATTCTTTTTGCATTATTTTCTTTAAAGAGTCTAGAAAATTATAAAAAATAAAAATTGCATTTTATTTTTTATTTGATATTTTTCCCATATTTTCCAAATAAATAGCATTTTAAAAAAGTTTCATTTCATGCATGATTTTGTTAATTTTTGTTCTACTAGATGCTTTAATATTTTTTGTCCATTCTTTTTAGGTTGTTTAGTTTAGACATTAAACTTGTAGAAACAATTTAGTTCCCATTTTTAGGAATTAATTTTAGGTGATTAATGTAGTCTTGGACAACATGAACCAGTTAGGGTTTTTTTAGGTGATGACTTAGGAAGTTTGATTCTTTCCCTTAGGACTTAGGATTTAACTAGATTAGTTATGGGACTATATGGGTTATGGGTAGCTATTAGATCCCTTAGAGAAAAGTTAGGATTCCCCTACTGCTATTAATACTGTCTGTATATCTGTTTGTCTGGTGTGGTGTGCCCTCTGGGGATTATTGTTTGATTGTTTGGGTATTGGGATTGTTTGGGGCCCTGGAGAGTTGAAGACTTGAGGAGATGAAGGCCATCGGAGATTCAGAGATTGAAGATCAACTTCCAAAGTTGGAGAGGAGGTTCTTGCTAGCAGATGCTGAGGAGACTAGGGTTTAGGAGCTAGGCAGAGCTCTAGGTTAGAAAGTTTGTTTCTCAAACATGGATTGCCTTGTCTGCATTCATTCTTCTCTGTGATTCAGAGTCTCTCTAAGATACTCACCCCCTTCCTTTGGAAGGCTTGGTGATAGTGTCTAAGAGATAGAACTCTTGAGAGAAAATGTCTTTTGTGTTAGAAGCAGTCTGTTCACCACCCTTGGTAGTCAACTGATTGCTTAACACCCAACTCACTCTTGTGACTGGTCCCTCATCCTGGAGGTTTGAGCTTGAAGAAAAGCCATTGCAGATGGAAGATAGATGATCAAAGCCCTTGCCTAAAGGCCATGAAGATGGAGATTGATGCTTGTTGAAGCCTGTAGCTGAGTGGAGATTACTTGAAGCCAGATGTTGATTCAGAGCTGCTGATGCTGTTTCTTTTGCTGTTTTATTTCATTGCTGATGTATTGATTGGTTTTCTGGACTGTATTGTTTGCTGTTTACCCTGCTGGGTTGAAAGTGAAGCCTGTTCACTTTTGCCTATTGTTTTCTAGGTTCGAGGTTGAGTGGGACTCCCTTGCCTCGCTTGTGCTGTTGCATCCATGCATTTTACTGCTTTACTGTATATATCTGATATTGTTTCTGTTTCTGCCTATCCCGTAGGATCTCTGTTTCTCTCTGTGCAAGAGAGGAGCATGATAGACACTAGGTCTTAACCCATGCATGATAACATTAGGTTAGTTCGTTTCCCTTTGCAACCATAGGTTAGAGTTCTGTCTCTTTCTTTCTCAAAACAAACAGAAAAACACAATAAGATTTCAAACACAATAAAAGACACTTCTTTCGTAAAAGAAGGTGAACTCATCAAAGCGTCATTTTTGTCCGCCGGGACTGTTAATCAAGAAAACCTTTTTCAGAAGGAATAAAATCAATCAAGACAAGCCTGTGTCTTCCGTGGCCCGAACTACGTTTGCTCTGATCTTTCATGCTGTATGAAAGTACGTAGGCATAGGATGCGATATCCTAGCGAGCAACCTTCCCCTCCTTTCCCGTAGGTAGGCGAACTACGTTGACTCTGATTTCTCGTTCCAGACGGGAATACGTAGGCATAAAGTGCGCCACTTTGCCGAGTCATTTTATTTTCATTCTCTTTTCTTCTCAACCCTTGACCTATAGTTTAGATAGAATAACAATCCATACCCGAAAACAAGCGTGGATCCCGTCGAGTACGACGGACGTGAGGGGTGCTAATACCTTCCCCTTGTGTAACCGACTCCCGAACCCCGGTTTTGGTTGCGATGACCATACCTTTCCCGTGTTGTGCGAGGTTTACTCTGAGCGTTTCCTTTCCCTCCCGTGGGATAAATAACGCACGGTGGCGACTCTTCTGTTCATCCGGCGCCGATTTTCGCAGTAGCGACACAAATCTATGCATTTTCTGCCCATGGACCAATGTGGGACTTTTGTAGGACCTGTCAAGAGCTTTCCAATGAGATTTGAACCAACTCAATTGGATGTGTGGTTAGGGAGTTATGGTCTTGCCCCTTTCAAAACCCTAATTTCCCGATTTCTCGATTTCTCGATTACTCCTCAGTCCTTGATCCAATGATCATGAAACTTCATGGACAGGTGTAATATGTTACTAGGAACATTTTTGCTTCATACTTTGACTTCAAATTCCTTATGGTTGAGGAGTTGACTTTTTGGTCAATCGAACGATCGATCGATGACTACCGAGCCGACTGTTGATGTTCCGGGACTTCATTAAGCCATATGAACTTCATGGACCATAACCCCCCCCATTGGAACACCTTTTAAATTAAAAGTCAAACTACACTTGACTTTTCCTTATCGAAAACCTTAATCGGGTATCCTGAACTGCACTGTTCTTGATCTTTGGGTGACAACCTCAAATTGGATTCATACTTGATCCAATGGAGTATATTTTATGATGTGGAGACTTATTTCATGGAGAATAAATCAAATATGTTGACTTATTAAACCGTCGAAACCTCGATTCTTGATTGTACGGAACCCTAATTTGCCTGTATCTTAACAAAGACAAACTGGAAATAGGTTAAGGTTAGATAATCAAATGAACATGACCCTAAAATGATGATGAAGATCTAAGGGGTCAAAATTTGGGGTGCAACAATACCCATCTCTTTCAATTTTAAACGTGCGTTTTTATGATCTTTTGTCTTTCCTGGGATATCCAACAAAGTCCCAATTATACTATCAAAAATGTTTTTCTCTATATGCATCACATCAAGGTTGTGGCATAAATTATTATGCTTCCAATATGGTAACTCAAAAAATATTGATTTTTTCTTCCATGGACCATTATTAATTTTCTTTTGCAACCTCCCAAAAGAATTGTTGACATACTTTAGTTTGTTTGAGATTTCTTCCCAAGTTAACAACTTCGGCGGTGGCCTATCTTCTATGCTCCCATTGAAATTCCTAGCATTTGACCTATATTTATGATCCTCAGGCAGAAAAACACGATGATCTATATAACACACCTTTTTACTATAATTCAAATATATTGAATTAGTGTTATAGTTACAACAAGGACATGCTAGTTTCCCTTTTGTACTCCACCCACTCAACATAGCATACCCAGGAAAGTCACTAATAGCCTACAAGAGAGCTGCCCGCATTTGGAAAGTTTGACTTAGTGATGCATCATATGTTTCTACACCCAAATCCCAAATCCCATAACACTTTCAACTCTTCTATCAATGGTTGAAGGTATAGATCAATGTCATTCCCTAGTGAAAGTGGTCCAGGGATTAATAAAGACAACATAGAATACTAAGCCTTCATACACCACCTAGGTGGAAAGTTATATGGTATTAATACCACAGGCCAAGTACTATAAGACAAATTCATGGTTCTAAATGGATTAAATCCGTCGCTGGCCAATCCAAGTCTTATATTACGTGGCTCATCAGCAAATTCAGCATGACATTTATCAAATTCTTTCCATGCTTCTGCATCTGCAGGATGCCTCAACTTCCCATCTTTCGAACGCTCTTCATCATGTCACCTTAATGAGCTAGCTGTCTTTGAACACATAAACAGTCTTTGAAGTCTAGGAATCAACAGAAAGTGCCTCAAAACCTTTGAAGGAACTTTATGATACTTATGATTTTTTTCAACATGATAATTTCCTTTGACATCTTCATTCCATCGTGGAGCACCACAAACATGGCAAGAAGTATCATTCTCGTGATCTTTCCAATATATCATGCAATCATTAGGGCAAGCATCGATCTTCTTATAATCTAGGCTTAAGTCCCTTATCATGTCTTTAGTTTTGTTGAACGTATCAGGGATGTTTAATGAAGGCATAGCTTCTCTCAACAACTCTAATAGAGCATCGAATGATACATTGCTCCAACCATAAAGACATTTCAATAAATAAAAATGAATGGTGAATGACAATTAAGAGAAGTTTTTGCAACCGGGATACAAATCTTGTTTGGCTTCTTCGACTAGATTATAGAACTTTTTTGCATCTTCATTGAGGCTTACATTTACATCACTTTCTTCTTGTACAGCATCTCTAAATCTTTCATGCAATAGCCCATCATTAGTGTCAATTTGATCCTCTTCTTCATTCATAAGATTATCATTAAGATCACCGAGTTTGGGTTTCTTCTCACCATGTCGAACCCAAACGTCATATCCCTTTTGAAATCCAAATTCAATTAAATGATTTCGTACTTCATTCCTTGTAAACCAATTGCTATTGTAACAATTAGCACAAGGACACAAAATCTCTTTCCCGCGGGGTTTTCCTTTGGTGTATGCATAATCTAGAAAAGAATCAAGACCATTTTGGTACTCTTTACTCCTGGGGTTTTTCTTTGTCCATTCCTTGTCCATCGGGTTTACGAGGATACTACCATTTATGGAAAAAATGTATAAGCAAAACAAGCAGAGAAGAAACACAGTAGAGCAACCCAAAGTGTTCAATTTGTCAAAATTGTTTCATTTTGTCATATAAAAACTACCCTACCAAAGGGTTCCTGCTGCCAATAACTACTACTTTACTATTAACACAAAACATGCTCATCTAGTGCAACAAGTAACATAAACTAGGAATTCACATCAAATTCAGAAATATCAGAAAAATAGTCCAACAAATTTTATAGATGGATGTCGATACAAACCTGATATAATGTCAGATGGGCAGAAATAGTTGTAACTTCAGTGTGTAGGGTCTAAACTTCTCCTGATACTTCGGATCTCCGGTACTTAAGATAGAACAATGAATTCTAGTTGTTTTGTGACATAATCAGCCAAAATAATCTCAGAACAAAGTCAAGACACACAACATTTGCATAAAAGCTTGAAGATCCTTAATTCCAACTTCCAAATTCATCAAAGAAAAATTTCACATAAATTAAAACAATGGCTTCTTGGTTTGGAGAAAATGCCATCAAAGCCTATCTCAGCACTTTGAAAATGGTGAGTAGTACTCAACAATAATTTGTAGCTGATATTTTTCAATTTATATATTTTCTTTTTCATTTTTTTTCTGACTTGCTTTTGGTTATATTTCAATAGGATCAAAAGGCTAAAGAACCATCTGTTGCTGAATATATATCAGCACTAGCAGCTGGAAACAATGCACAATTAATGGTTGTTGCTTGTGTTGCTGCAGCTGATTCAACTACACTTGCACTAATTGCTGTTGTTAATCAAACTAATGGAAATGTTGTTTGCTAATCAAATTAAGGGTCCTGCTTATCAAACTAAGGGTGCTGCTATTTTTCATTCCCACTCCCTTTTTCCTCTAACTTGCACCTTAAAACTCCAAAATATACATGAGAGAGTAGTGCAACTGTTTCTCTACTAATCTAGCATATTCTAATATTTCTAAAACTTCCCTGTTAGTCAATGGTTTTGTTTCTTGTATTGAAACCTATACTAAAATCTGACTTGCACTAATTGCTGCTGCTAATCAAACTAATGGAAATGTTGTTTGCATTGTTCCTAACCATGAAGATCTAATTGCATCCAAAAATTTCCTAGGAGTAGCTTCTAATCCAGTTGAGTTCATGATTGGAAAAGAAGCACAAGAATTATTGATATTACACAAAGGTGATTTTGTGGTAATTGATTGTAATCTTGTGAACCATGAAGAGCGTTTCAATCATAAAACCACACACACAAAAATTCTAACACACAACAGTAGCATAGTACACACTAGAAAGCCTCACTGAAAATTCATACAAAATTCACACGCATATAGGCAGAGTATATACACACATCAACATGACATTCACACTAAAAACACAAGCAAAATTCATATGCAGAAAAAATCACAAAGATATCACGCATAGAAGGCAGAGTATACGAATTGAGCAGATACGCTCAGAGTCATAGAAGGCATAGAAGGCAGAGTATACGAATGGAGAAGATACACACAGAGTCATAGAAAAAAATCATAAAACATAAAAACATTAAGGCATCACAACAAAAAAACATAAATACAGTGAAAAGAAGCAGAACAAGCACGAGACACACACAACTAGTCCAATACCATATAAAGCAGTTTGAGTTAATTAATTATCTCTAACTCAATGACCCACCAAAATAAAACAGGGCTACAAATTATAATCAAATTATTACCTTTTTACCAGGATGAACCGAAAACTCGCACACCACTGAAAACTCGCGCACTATTACGTTTGAAAATTGAGACCTATGAAAACAAAACCGTTAGATTTGTCGGCAGAGAATAGAGAAAGTTGAAGGAGAACATTTACACACACACAAGTTTGGGATGAATGTTAGGGTTTGAGAGAATCGTACGATGAAGAATCAATATGGGATGAAGAACAAAATGTTAGGGTTTGGGAGAAGCTCGTACGATGAAGAATCAATTTGGGATGAATCTTAGGGTTTGAGAGAATCGTACGATGAAGCTCGTACATTAGAATCAATTTGGGAAGGAACTGAAAATTTTACGCAGGTTTGGGAGGAACAATGAAAAGTATACACGTATGAGAACGGTGTTAGTAAATAATATTTTATTAAAATAATTAAAAATTATATAAGAACGGCTCTAGCCGTTGCTAATAGGAGTCGTTCTCATTGTCCTCTACAAGAACGGTTTTGCGCCGTTGTATAAAATTTACAAAAAATTATATAAGCTACCGCAAAAAAATGTTGTAGTGCCCGCTCTTCATGACTAAGGGCACCTTTTTCGGATCTATTGTCGAGCTTCCGACATTAAACAGAGCGCTTCGTGGGAGCTAAACCACGATCTTTAGTTTTTGTTTTATTTTTATTTTTGTTAGTTTTAGGACATTGTATGCATGATTAGTATAAAATATATCTCTTATGCAATTCCAATGTTGTCTCTATTATTACTTCATTATTAGTATCTATATCTTAACCTACTAACGTGCAGTAATTTTATTTCCATAATAGGGTATTATTTTCTCTTTATCTCCAGGATAACCCTCTCTAGGATACCTTTGACCTGAGACCATGCAGACATTCGAGAACCATACCGTCCCCTTTAGGAATGATGTCCAGAGACATCGATTCGAGGCTTTGTCTTAAAGAGATTTTGGTCTGTCCATCTACCATGACAACTCTGCTATGAAAACCCTCAGTATCTAGGACATCGTTATTTACCTTATGAGCCAAATAGGTTGGACCCACTTTGCTTTAGAAACGAAGTTCAGCACCTACCGTAACCTGACTCTAGATTTCCCCAGATCTCTTTTCTTCGACCCCAACCATGGTTTCGGTTTTGGCCGTGGACTGACCACTTTCAGGCTGTTTGGGAACAAGTATAGGTTCACTCATCACGAATTTACTGACTTGTTGGGCTTTCCTAATGAGCCTGATGCTGTAACCAAAACCCTTGTCGATGCCTTCACTAGTTTTGATCTCAGACAATTCTGGGGTACCTTAAATGGGAACGGTAATTCTCAGCCTGATGCTATGTTCTCTAAGAGCATCCACAACCCAGAATGGCAATATTTTCAAGATCATTTCTCACACTTTCTTTGGCAAAGAAGAGAACATCACCTCTGTATCTCGAGACGAGCTCTATATCATGCTTTGTGCATCCCAAGGAAAACCTGTAAATGTTGCCCCGTTCCTGCTTGCAAATTTTAGTCGTCTTGCTCGTGATTCTTTTGAGTCGATCTTAATAGGCGGGTTGGTAAGGATGATTGCTGATGCAATTGGAATGAGATATTATATGAATCGTTCCTTTGCTTTCGGTAGCGTCCATTTGATGGACATTAACTTTTGTTTCAATCGGAAAATGATTGCAAATCTTGGTCATGTTGAATTTCAGCAGCTTATTAACAATGTTGTAGTCCATACTTTTACCCTGCCCAACCATGAGAAAACTAGTGTGCACAATAAGAATAATTGGCTCTACGACTTAGAGGTCCCCGATGAGTTTCTGACTCTACCTAACTCTCCTCAAGCTTACGAGAACCGTGATACTATTATGTCTGCCTCTGCCACTCAAAGTTCTGAGATTAATCCTGTTGATCCAACTATCAATGTAGCTGTCACTATTAACTGCATCCAGTCCAAATTAGATTTCATTCGGAATGAGATTTCGTCCCTCAGAATCGATTTCATTGGACTTATGGATGTTGTCCATGAGGAGTTAGACCACTTGTTCTAGATGGTCCATTCCATTGCACAGCACCACGAATGAATGCCAGACGCAGCTTTTTCCCTATTTTTCTTAGGATAGTTTATTTTTCTATAATGTGTTTCCCATTCCCGCATTGTATGTACTGCTAATTTTTCATTCCACTGTTTACCTTCGGAATACCGACGCGTAGTTGTAACACACTTCAATTTTGTTTAATGCATATTTTCTTTTCTTTATGTACTTTTGTTTTTAGCTTTCTACAGCCTGTTTAATCTTTCTTTAGTGTGGCATTTTATTGTGTGTAAGTGAAAACAAGAAAAACACCAAAAATATGCCGGCAGAACTGCTTTCTGCCAAACCAGAGCAAACTGCTCGTGCCTGAGGCAAATGGCGGTCGCCATAAGCCTAATGGCGCTCGCAGTTTGGTCCTGGGGACAGAATTGCTTTAAAATTTAAAAATTCGTTTTGCCTATTCATTTCTTCACTTTTACCACCCTTGCATATTCCCAATACATCATTGATCACCCCACAAACTCCCCATTATCCCACATTAACTTCTAACCACCCAACTTCTCTATTCAACCCTTATTTAAACCCACCAACTTCACCCTTTCCATCATCACTGAAATTTTGGTATCAGATATGAGATGTCGAAAGAGATGTCACAACACTAATGTCTGAACAATTACCAATATATGAACAAGATAAAAAGCAGTTAACAGTTGTAAAGAGACACAAGCAATTGTTAACCCAGTTTGGTGCAAACACACCTACATCTGGGGGCTATCAAGCCAGGAAGGAAATTCACTAAATAGAATTAGTTTGAAGATTCTCAGTAAACTCTCTCTAGTTTACAATCTTCACACCTAATCTCTACCCTTGTAATTTCTATTTAAGACACTCTTAGATATAAGACACCTCTCATTCCCCCTCAATCACAACAATGATAAAAACAAATTATTAAAACATAGAAGACACTCTTCAAAGACAATACTTGATCTTGCTTAAAAGCTTCAATCGAGAACAATACACTCGTGCTTAAAAGCTTAGAATGGACAACTTACAACTCAAAAACTCATTCCAATTCACACATCAAAGTGATGAGTGAATGGCTCACAAATAACAAATACACACGAAGGTAAAAACCTTATTCCTTAAATAGTGCACACTCTCAACCCTAGCTTGTATGTTCTTCAAATAGGATTGTAAAGTCTTTATATAGTAACACTTTGAACGGGCTTGGGCT